AAGCCAATCAGCAAAAAGTTTCCTGTATAAGGAACCCAGCAGATTGCATCAAGTCAATGACTAGTGTCAGCATTAGTAGTCAGGGCTCCCGCATCTTTATATACAGGAGGAGGAGATGCAAGTCTCTCCGACGTGATGACGAGAGACCCAAACGCATGAGTGAGTGTGTGCAAACAAAACTGTTCACCCATGCAAACGAGCTGTAAGCTAAACTGTCAAGAAGCAGACTTTCTAGTGTGTTTAGCATGTGTGAGCCCAATAGCAGCTGCGTACGTTATAAACATCTATAATAATTGTAAATATTGAAGCTGCCTACTTTGCTGATTTTGCCTAATGCGCGTTATTTTTAGAACGTAACTCCCACAATAAATGAGGGACATTTCACAAATCCCGAAGATCCCCGAACTGCACCTGAAACACTACAGCAGGCTCACTACTTCAAATTACATTTATAGTCTGTGTAATGTAAAACTAATGGTGATATGATTAGTGAAATGGTGTTTGCATGCAATCATATTCATTTAGGATTGGAGAATTTTAAGGTGGAACTGGAACTTTAGAACTAACTCTGCTGTGACTAGCTGTGACTCAGAGTTGATCTCTGTGTCTAACCAAAATGCTCAAAGAGAAAGGAACCAACAGTGAGAGATTAAATGTGTTCTCACCACAAAATCCTACTTTAGAATATTTGATTCATCGTTTAAGCACCACTCTTGTCTTTAACCATTACTTTGTTTCAACTCTTGCATTTAGTCTTTTAAAAATCTGTTTAAGGTCGTTTCGATCAAGCTGATCTAACGGTGAATGTTGTTCAAATCTACTATCCAGTCTTCTCTGTAGTTGTTGTGAGTCAGACGAGCAGTAAACACTCATTGCTCATGGTTTCTGCTCGACTGCTGCACAGGTACCTCATTAGAGCTGTATCCTTTCCAGATGGCTCTCGTCTTACCGACCCTCTATTGAATTGTCCATGTTTAGACTCCGCTGCAAGATGTTCTTTAGTCATTTTTGTGTCCTGGTTTTGGAGCGTAAACAAGCCTAATTCAATGCAAGTGTCTTTACTGATGGACTTGTGATAATCACAGGAGATAAAATTACATTTCTAGTCTGACTTGACGACCTAGAGAGCCATGATAAAATATGACTCCTCAGAGAAACATCCCTGCCTGAGAGCAAATCTAACGAGGAACTGGCTTCCTTAGAGTGTTTGCACAAGGATCCTGGTGAAAAGCGTTAACTCACACTACTGTAAGATCATGGATTAGTAATATCCCCTCAGGAATCATCTTGGGATTTCTGTAATACTTTCTCTCTGAAGTAAGTCGTGGTGGAAATGCTACGGTAATCTTCAAAAATAGTTCTCATTACAAAATATTTTGGCTCTCTGAGTCAGATGGACTCATGTGAAGTCTTTATTTACTGTGTGAGGGAGTTGTTGTCAAACATTCAAAACATGCCCATGTGGCTAGATCAGGGTTTGTCTTGCAGAGAGCATCTGTAAGAAAAAAATAAAAAAGGTTTGGAGGACAAAATACTCTGTGGGTCTCCTCTGCCTGGGTGTATGGAGGAGAGTTCATGCGGCGACATTACCTCCTCTGCATTGTACTCGTCATTCTGTCTTTGTAATGTGAAAAACTCACCAGGAGGGGATCTATTAGAGAGAAACCCAGAGAGCCATTCACAACTCCATCATTACAAGAAAATGAACTCTTCAGACGTTCTCTGCTCTGACGCTAAACCAGCCTGTGGACGAGCTCTGAATCCTGACTCAAAGAAAGGGTTTGTTTTTTATTAGTGGCTGACTTCTGAATCAGGTGGAGATTAAAACTTATATCTTTACATTCAAGACACACAGGCACATAGATATGTAAAGTGATTACACAGCTGTAAAACAGTTTTTAATTGTAATTAGGAATGTGACAGAGTTGGTGATTTATGTTCACAAATGTAGATTAAAACATTTTTATTGCAATTTTAGCCAGACTGTCTTTCTAGATCATCTGAGCTGTGAACATTTTGGGATCTTGTACCTCTGGTTAGATTATTGCACGTAATCTTAATTTTATTTCCCTTGGTTTGCAGTCAGAATGAGTTGCAGCTTTGTTTCAACGCATTATAAAACAACAACTTTGCATTTCTTCACAACTGATCAAGGTGTATGTATGTATATGTATATGTACAGTGGTGTGAAAAACTATTTGCCCCCTTCCTGATTTCTTATTCTTTTGCATGTTTGTCACACAAAATGTTTCTGATCAAACACATCTAACCATTAGTAAAAGATAACACAAGTAAACACAAAATGCAGTTTTGAAATGATGGTTAATATTATTTAGGGAGAGAATAATATCCAAACCTACATTGCCCTGTGTGAAAAAGTAATTGCCCCCTGAACCTAATGACTGGTTGAGCCTTCTTTAGCAACAATAACTGCAATCAAGCGTTTGCGAGAACTTTCTACGAGTTTTTTACAGCGCTCTGGAGGAATTTTGGCCCACTCATCTTTGCAGAATTGTTGTAATTCGGCTTTATTTGAGGGTTTTCTAGCATGAACCGCCTTTTTAAGGTCATGCCATAGCATCTCAATAGGATTCAGGTCAGGACTTTGACTAGGCCACTCCAAAGTCTTCATTTTGTTGTTCTTCAGCCATTCAGAGGTGGATTTGCTGGTGTGTTTTGGATCATTGTCCTGCTGCAGCACCCAAGATCGCTTCAGTTTTAGTTGACGAACAGATGGCCGGACATTCTCCTTCAGGATGTTTTGGTAGACAGTAGAATTCATGGTTCCATTTATCACAGCAAGCCTTCCAGTTCCTGAAGCAGCAAAACAACCCAGACCATCACACAACCACCACCATATTTTACTGTTGTTATGATGTTCTTTGTCTGAAATGCTGTGTCACTTCTACGCCAGATGTAACGGGACATTTGCCTTCCAAAAAGTTCAACTTTTGTCTCTTCAGTCAACAAGGTGTTTTCCCAAAAATCTTGGCAATCATTGAGCTGTTTCTTTGAGACGAGCCCTAAAATTCTTTTTGCTTAACAGTGGTTTGCGTCTTGGAAATCTGTCATGCAGGCCATTTTTGCCCAGTCTCTTTCTGATGGTGGAGTCGTGAACACTGACCTTAATTGAGGCAAGTGAGGCCTGCATTTCTTTATAAGTTGTCCTGGAGTCTTTTGTGACCTCTCTGATGAGTTGTCTCTGTGCTCTTGGGGTAATTTTGGTCGGCCGCCCACTCCTGGGAAGGTTCACCACTGTTCCATGTTGTTGCCATTTGTGGATAATGGCTCACACTGTGGTTCGCTGGAGTCCCAACGCTTTAGAGATGGCTTTATAACTTTACCAGACTGATAGATCTCAATTACTTTTGTTCTCATTTGTTCTTGAATTTCTTTGGATCTTGGCATGATGTCTAGGTTTTGAGGTGCTTTTGGTCTACTTCTCTGTGTCAGGCAGCTCATATTTAAGTGATTTCTTGATTGAAACAGGTGTGGCAGTAATCAGGCTTGGGGTGGCTATTGAACTCAGGTGTAAAACACCACAGTTGGGTTATTTTTTAACAACGGGGGCAATTACTTTTTCACACAGGGCAATGTAGGTTTGGATTTTGTTCTCTCCCTAAATAATAAAAACCATAATTTCAAAACTGCATCTTGTGTTTTCTTGTGTTATCTTTGACTAATGGTTAAATGTGTTTGATGATCACAAACATTTTGTGTGACAAACATGCAAAAGAATAAGAAATCAGGAAGGGGCAAACAGTTTTTCACACCACTGTATATGTACAGTATATGTATATGTATGTGTATATGTCTATGTATGTGTATATGTATGTATATGTATATGTATATGTATATGTATGTGTATATGTATATGTATGTGTATATGTATGTATATGTATATGTATATGTATATGTATGTGTATATGTATATGTATGTATATGTATATGTTTATGTATATGTATTTGTATGTGTATATGTATGTGTATATGGATATGTATGTGTATATGTATAAATATTTATGTATATGTATATGTGTGTCTGCAGTTTTCTTGTACAATTTAAAAAAGAATCACAAAGACTGTGAATTAATGTGATGGCGATGACTTAAAGCATGTTCCTTCCTTCCTTTCTGGAGATCTACTTGCTCCAACCACTCCATTTATCAGGGGCCTCTGTTGAGACAGACATGATTCTTTTTTTCCTTTCATTTTGTAATCATATTTCCAAAATTTTTAATCAGAAATGTAACAGGAACCACAAGTTCCTATAATCATTTTAAAGAGATGCACCAGTTTTTGTTGTAATAGCAAGTTAACTGCATGCATGCAGTGCACCTTTTTTTTCCAGAGAAACATTAATTTCAGATCACTAATAGACAGAGAGAGTGTATAGGTGGCCTATTTATCATTTTCATCTCTCTGTTGAAGTGAAGGTCAAGGGCAAGGTTAAAAAAAAGTCTTTCATATCAGTCTCTCTCTCTCTCTCTCTCTCTCTCTCTCTCTCTCTCTCTCTAGAATTGATTTCAGCCTAATGTCTGCATAATAAACACCCACAGATTTGTCTCATGGTGTGTGAGAGAGAGGAACGTCTCATAACCATTGTTTTATAATGTGGAGTTTGTTCCCCTGACTTGCTCAAGTGCATTTATTTAATTTCTTTAATCCTTCACACATCAATCATTCTCTACTTCCTGTAACTTTAATATGAAAGCAGCTGAGGAATTCTGGATTGCTGAGGCAAGTTGCGTGTTCACTTTGACAGGTAAAAATGTCCCCAAAGAGATAATTGTGATGATTTGCTCTGTGCCCTGTGGTGGTATATTTTCCCTCTGAGACTTCCCTCTTCACACTTTCGACCCTGATTGCTCCACAAGACGACGTTTTAATAGCGGCCTGTGACTAAACTCTAAAACGCAGACCAATTACTGCGGATATTAGCCAGCAGGGTGACTGTACACAACCTGAAACTCAAAACAAAGCTTTCTGTGTTCCTCCAGGTGCGTAGGCTGGTGAGGTCATCAAACATCCCACCAAGATGGTGGCCCTGTCGTTGAAGATTTGTGTGCGCCAGTGCAACGTGGTGAAGACGATGCAGTTCGAGCCGTGCACCCCCGTGTACGACGCCTGCAGGATCATCAGGGAGAGAGTTCCAGAAGCCCAGTCTGGACAAGGTTAGACAATAACTTCTAATCTAATTTGCATAATGGAAAACTACAGGTGCCGACGTTCGCATGCATCTCTGTGTTGCAGCCTCAGATTACGGCCTGTTCCTGTCTGACGACGATCCCAGGAAGGGAATCTGGCTGGAGTCTGGAAGAACGCTGGATTATTACATGCTGAGAAATGGAGTAAGATTAAATCACAGTCCAGGGTGGAGACCTGTCGGTGTCACTTATCATTTCCTGAAGTGATTTATATTTTCTAGTGGGAGCTGAAATATTTATGCCTCCCTGCTCACTGGAAGCAAATGCACTTTACAGTAAAGGGGGATTAGCAGCAGCTGTTCGTGTCATCTCGGTTCCCTGTTGTTGTTGTTTTTTTTTGTCCAGGACATTTTGGAGTATAAGAAGAAACAAAGGCCTCAGAAGATCAAAATGCTGGATGGTGCCGTTAAAACCATCATGGTGGATGACTCCAAAACAGTCGGGGAGCTGCTTGTCACTATATGCAGTAGAATAGGTGTCACATTTCTTTCACGAGTTCTTGCTTTTATGTTGCAAACACCGATTTCATGAAGCACTTGAAGCACTTATGCATGCTTGGTAAAATTCAAAGTATGCTTTATTTAAAGCACAACAGACATGGGTTATCAAGCCTAAACAAGCTGTTCAAATAAAAGCCGTGTTCTTGTGAAGGTCCAAACCTAAAGAGGAGCCCCCCCCCCCCCCCCCCCCCCCAAGCTTGTGTTTCAGTTCTAATAGGATGCAACTGAGCCTAATTGGGTGAGGAGGGGAGAGTGTGAATGTAGCAGATAGCTTTATTGGAAAGTGTTTATTTAGATGAGGACTTTCTGGTTGACTTCTCCTCCTCCTCGCCTCCTGTTTTAGTTTTCTGGCTTCGTACCAGCTTTCCCCTCTCTTCTGTTTCAACACAGATTTAAATAAAAGCACAACTGAATTTTCTTTCTCTTAGTTGTAGCGGTTGTCGGTCTGAAGCACCACGAGATTTCTCTTGTCTAACTTTTCAGGAATTACCAACTACGAGGAGTACTCCCTCATTCAAGAGGTGACGGAGGACAAGAAGGAGGACAGCACCGGGACGCTGAAGAAAGACAGAACCCTGCTACTACGAGATGAGAGGAAAATGGAGAAGCTCAAAGCCAAGCTCCATACGGATGACGACCGTGGGTGAAAACTTTTCAAGCTTTCAAAAACATTTAAACATTTATGATTTCACCCCGATTTCTTATTTTCTCTTTAACAAATCTGACTATAACTCAGCACAAGAACACGTGCTTTATTACTGGAGTCTAAATTATCTAAAAAAGTATGAAAGTTTAACGTGACTTCAACAGCGACTGATTCGATTTTTAATCTTAGAAACAATCACCCTTCTACTTTTCCAGAGAAGACGGTTTCTCTCAGCAGGAAATGGTAACCTTGGACGCTCCGTAAAGCAACACCTGACAGTTTTCTGCATAGACATGAATACATAGACACGCCATTGGAGGCTGGAGAGTGTAACAGTGTCGCTGCCATATTGAATGGGTTCCTTACTCTCCAAATCCGACTGGAATCAACGCAGAGTGAGCAAATTTGCCCCCTTTCTGTGCAACCTACGGTTGCAACAGCCGGCACGCAATTGAAAATAGATCACGTGGGATTATTTTTGACTTTTGCTTCTGTTACTTTTAGTTCCAGACTCCGCCATGATGCCAGCAGAAAAAGCAAACCTATTATTTTTCTTCCCCTTGTGCTTTTTATTGACGATCGGCAAACTGAAAATGCTAACTGCTAGCATTGCAGCTAACAGGAAAAGGGCATCCCCTATGACACTTACCCGCTCCCCAAAACTTTTAAGTGATTTTTGTCAGCAGAGGTCTGCACAGTGGAGTCAAATATGAAACTGTTGAAGTTTCTACCTCAACAATCACTGAGATCAATGTTAAAGCACTAGCATGAAGCTGAAAACTATCTAGTGTTACTTTAAGGCTGATTTATGTAATCCTAAAGACTTTTAAAGCTCTTCGGTACACAGTTTGATCCACCAACAGCATTTCTGTCAAGTGAGCCTGTGTACATTCTGAGCATGTGCTAACTGTGTTTGTTTCTGTCGGGCAGTGAACTGGTTGGATCACAGCAGGACGTTCAGGGAGCAGGGAGTGGAGGAAAGTGAGACGCTGCTGCTCAGGCGCAAGTTCTTCTATTCGGACCAGAACGTGGACTCGCGGGACCCCGTCCAGTTAAACCTGCTGTATGTCCAGGTAAATGCTAATGGGCCTCGAAATGACTGGGTGAATGAATGAAGAGGAAACATGCATCATAGTAAAAAATCTGACTGAAAAGCATCGCCTCAAAATCGTTTTCTCCTGTCTTTAACCACGTTTTACGCTACAACTACTTTTTTCTGGAAATAAAGCATTAAAATTTTATTACTGTTTTACTTTTCTTATTTAATTTGCAAATAAAACTGATTATTAGCATAACATTTGATGGCTGGATTTATCTTCAAACAAAGGAAATGAACCGTGTTCTGCCAGTCAGTGCTTACTAATCTGAGAGGAATGTTTCTTCTGGCTGTGGAAAAGATATTTTAATTTTAGGAAAGTAAAAATAAATGTATTGTCACTGTGACTCTGTGAAATTAAACTGAAAAGTGCAGTCCTTCATGCCAACAATAAAACACATTTGAGTTTGGTTTTGAATGCCTCATAAATGGAAGGCAGCTTTTCTAAAATAAAAATATCTTATTTCTTGGAGTTTTACCAAATGAGCAACATTATTCAACATCATTAATTTTAATTTGTGAGCTCAGGCTGCTGTATGTGCTGTTGTTAAATGTCAGGCCTTGTGCAGAAAAAGTAGAGGTAGAGAAAATAAGCGTCTCTCTCATTTTCTGAAATCAGCTGTTAACAACGGAGCTAGGGCTATGAAGCATTGACTTTTAAAGATTTCAGTAAATTGTTTTTATATATAACAGTGGGACTAACAAAGACACACAAAAAACATTCAGAAACAAACAGAATATTTCAGATGCGAGACAGGAGACAAAAAAGACTCAGCATCTATTTCTGGCAAACATTTTACTTGTTGATGGTCCGCACACAGAAGTGTGGTCCAGACAGGTTTGACTCTTTTTTAATACAAAACAAAACAAGATTTCTTGGTATAAGCGACAAGCTAACACTACAATTAGCATTCACTTACAAACATGCTAAATGCAGTCACAGTTAAAAGTTTAAAGGCATACTTTGCTACTTTTTCATATTTTTTAACCATTTTCTTGAGCAAGTAGGTGCTAAAATAACCAACAAAAGCTTTCTCTGTCGTGTCAAACTTGTTGAGAAAGTTTTCATACGTGGGTCATTGAGCTGGTCCAACAAGACTCTCAGATCAATGTCAGGTTGCTTGCAACGTTTGTGGTGGTTTGGTGGCACTTGAGAACACAAGCATGTATCACTAGCACTGAGACAGCGCATGTGTTTCAAAAAGAATATTTTAGATTGTGTAAGTGTTAAAAGCAAGGTTTAGAAGCAGAGCTGAGGTCCATAAAGAGTGCTGCTGTAAAAGCCTTCATCTTTAACAGGGATGTACGATAGATCTGTATTGCAATACTTCTAAGAAATCAGCAGTACCAGTATTTATAACAAAAGGTCATTCAACATCAACAAAATGAAATGTATTTGTGATTGCAACTCGTATAGGTAACAGTTTTGATTAGTTAAAGAAAATTCATTTTTTCCTCATTTTTGTAATCCATTGAGCTGGATGACGGTGTTAATCTGCTGTAACATTTTACAAAAAGGGTCCCTTTATTAACATTAGTTAGTTAGTTAGTTAGTTAGTTAGTTAGTTAGTTAGTTAGTTAGTTAGTTAGTTAGTTAGTGCATTATTAAGCATCAATAAGCTGATTAATAAAGTATTACCAATTGTTTAACCTTACTATGTAATGCGTTACTAAGCAGACCCCCCCCCCCCCCCCCCCATCCTAACCTTAAGAACACTTACAAGTTAGCAATAATGTTAATAAAGGCATCTTGTTTGTTTAAGCAGGCTATAACTGTAAGAGAGCATCATCTATGACTGCCGTTACTAATCTTTTACATTTCATCCTGGATATATTTAAGTTAGGGATGAAACATCAAATGTGCGTAGATGTAGCTCTGGGTACAAACAGCAGCTATGCTATGCTAGCTGTAGGTCACGTCCAAAAGAATTTCATATTTCTGTCAGATAATCATTTCTTGAGCCAGTACGTGCTAAAACGACCCTTTACAGAGTTAATGAAATGTCACTCAGACCCCCACCGCCCTCTGTGGCCAGAATACCACACTTGCAACTTCAGAGTGGCAGTCCGCCTCCTGCTGGACTTAGCTAAGTTGAGTTGACATACTAGCGCTTGAGTCTGCTTCCTGCATGTTTTAGATCGTGAACACAGCTGATTTGATTGATTTAGTGATGAACCGCTCCTGTAGAAACTAATAAACCCTGAAGAGGCATTTCAGCAGTTTGATTAAGGTGTTAAAAAACAAACGCACACCAAGGACAGGAGTTTCACTTTTGTTTTTACTAACAGAAACAATAGGGAGTGCTAAAGGTAAGCCAAAACTGCTTAGTATCCCTTTAAGACCACTTGAAAAATGGCAAAAAATTATTTTTCACGGTTGGATCTTATATGGATTCGAGTAGAGCTTCAATATGAACAAGAAGAAATAAGAGTGAGACAGAAACGGTTTCTGAGCTGTAACTGATTGAAAACAACACTGAAACAGGCTGTTTAACAGCTCATCAAAAGTTTAAGACCATATATCTAAAATGCCAAATCTGTGCAAAAATGTGGATGCATTATCATTTTCTGTAAGATGGTCACACTGGCATGTTGATCTGATGGCAAAGGCAAAAAAATAAATAAATAAAAACATTTCCCTATTTGAACATGGTCAGCTTGTTGAACTGCATAAGCAGGTTCTCTCTGTGCCATCGCTGCTGAGGTGGGACACAGTGAGAAAGTCATTTGGAATGTGTTCAGTGATCCTGAGGGTAATGGAACAAAAAATTCAAGCGCAAGACCCAAAACAATTTCAGCAGAACTGTGCCAAAGGATCCAATTTTCATTTCGTGCTCCTTAAGATAAAAAAGCACTGATCAAGGTTAAAATTCAAGCAGCTACGTTTATTGTAATTACTAGATAAATTGTTAAAGAACCCGTTTTGTTGTGGTTTGCAGTCATAATTTAATAATTAGGTCTGCTGGAATGTGTTTAAATGCTTTATTGTTTAAAAAAAAGACAATTTTCTTTTACTCTACATTTTTGCAGCACATTCTGTTGCTCCGGAGCAGAGAAAATCTCTCTCAGGACAGATGAGGGACTTGGGTGAAACATTCATTCTCCCCCTCACTCGAAAATGCTCAGCAGAGTTTGAGAGTTAGAATTCTATTAACTCATACGTTTGAGTCAACCAAGAGGAAATATTCCTGCTGACACCTGAATTTAGAAATTCTTGACCAAATCCGACGAGTCTGATCAATAATGTGGACATTTAATGTTTTGTGTGACCAATTTGAACCTTTAGCATCCATCGTTCAGGTTTCCGTCCTGGATCTGTATCCACCTCAGCTGAAGCTGATTATCGTTCGTTCGTTTGTTTTCCTCTGCTTATGTTTGACAGCATCTAGGACATCCCAGACAACCAGATAGGAGACATACCTGCTCCAACGCAGGGGTCACCAACTCCAATCCTCGAGGGCTACCATCCTGCACATGTTAGCATTTTCTTTGCACCTACACATCTAATAGAAATGAATAAGAAATAACAATTTTGTGCAAAGTTAAATGTGGTAAGGAGAGGATTCAAGTACTTCATTCAGGTGCAAGAAACACAGACAACTAGCAGGATGGTAGCCCTCGAGGACTGGAGTTGGTGATAGCTGCTCTTGTCCTTGGTCGACCTCCTGCCGACAGGACATGCCCTATTCAACACACCAGGAAGGGGTCCGGGTGGCATCCTGACCAATTGCCTGAACCACCTCAGCTGGCTCGTCTCGATGCGGAGGAGCAGTGGCTCAACTCGAGTCCCTCTCGAATGTCCGAGCTCCTGACCCTATCTCTACGACTGAGCCCAGCCACCCTCTGGAGGAAATTCATTTCGGCCGCGATCTTGTTATTTTGGTCATTACCCTCAGATTAGCAGACATAAATGGATTAACAGTTTTCTGGATGGATGCTCCGGATATTTGTGTTTTTATCAACCTCATCCTGGCCTAATGTCCTGACTGAGAAGGTCAGTGTGTAAAAGGGATCCTCCAGGTGTGGTTTAAGGATGGAGGAGTGCACTGAAGCAGCACAGAGTTACTGGACTGGCAGAAAGTGTGCAGACCATTATTTGAAAATAAATGACACAAAAATGGCCGGATGCACTCCCACACAAAATACATAATCTTTAAAAGAAACAGCACATGGAGACATACTCCTTATTAAATCTGGAGTAAATATATTCATAAAAGACATGGAGCCATCCTCCCTCCTCCCTTCCTTCTACTGATGCTCTTTCTGTTTTTCTTCTCTCTTGTTTCCATCCTTTACATTATGCCTCCCTCCTCTCCCTCGTCGTCTCCCACACATTCTGACATAGTTGCATGCATCCCCACCCTCTTCTCCTGGCACACATTACAGTGGTGTGCAGATCATGCTCTCCTCTCAACACAGACTCATATTTCCTTTCACAACAACCGCTCCGCCCTGCTGCCCTCACAGACCCCCCCTTCTGTCTCACACACAGTCGGATTGTTACACAGATCACAGAGGCTCTTCACATGGCACTGGCTCTAATTTGTCACTGTGTTAAAAGAGGCTAAACAGAACCAGAGGAGCGACGTTTGGCAAAGTGGAACATTCCTCTGGCCTCACGTTCAGCTGCTCATCTATTTTTAATTTTCTCTTTGTCACCTCTCATTTACAACTCTAGTAACCCTTAAAAAATACAAGAAAATAATAGTTTTCCTGCATTTACTTATAGCATTTCATTTGCAGGCTATTTAGGTGAGTTCCTTTATGAATATACACAATAAAACTCAATATGAGATGCATTTGGATGGGCCAGCTGGTCAGCAGGCTGTATTAACTGTGGAATGAGGGTTTGCTAACATGGGTGCCATAAAATTTAATGCTCTGGATTTTAGATGGAAAAAACGCTTTAAGAGAGTTTTAGCTGGATTTACTGGTGGTTTTAGAATGGTTGGCCCATTTGCCTCCATGTAAGGCTAT